TTTTTAAACTTATCAGAACTTTCTGTCTAACTATTTAATATAAAAACTTTTTCCCCTCAAAGAAAGTTTGAAAATTTGTGCATCTAATAATTTGGTAGTATCCAAAAAAACCCCTTGGCTGCTAAAAGTATTCATATGGTGAATCTAATCTTGAGGAAACATTGGACAAACACCAATCCAGGGCCACGTTACAATGTAACCGGCCAGAAACCTGCCTGCTCCCATTCAAAAAACATCAATATACTAACTGAAAGAAGGCCCAGAAACTGTGCCAAGTTAGAGACGAAAAGAGACAAATAAATTTCACTGTAATCATAGGTTCCTTCCTGGCTGGGGGCGGGGGGCGGGGGGAGTGCGTGCTACAAAGGATATTACAAGGACAAATGGCACATTTGTAGATTAGATTAATGGAAAATATATCAAAGTTACATTTCCTCGCTTTGATCATCATGCTATTATGTAAAAGGAGGAAGACCCTCAAGGAGCCGGGTTGCCTCAGTGACTCCAGCAGAGAGTGAGGATGGTCCAGGGAGGGCAGGGTCTCCTGCTGAAGGCAGGGTTGCTCCGAGTCAGAGCAGAATAAAGGGCCCCTAACAACAGCAGCACGTAAGACGACCGAGTCAGAGTGGAATAAAGGGCCCCAACAGCACCAGCACATATTCTTAGGAATTTCACGCTTAACAACTAACAGTAGCATGTAAGATGACTGTCCATGTGTAGGAATTGCACGTATAAGGTCTTAAGGATGATTTGGAATTTTTTTTTAATTACACATACATACACATACACACACACACACACGCATGCACGCACGCGCGTGCACACACACACAGAGGCGAGCTCCGGTGGCCTAGTGGCAAGAAGCTGCACTGCAGTCGCAGACGTGTGCAGTTTGAATCCACCAGATGCTCTGCTGGAGAAGGAGGGACAATCTCCTCTTGTACCAGTCAGATCTGATTTGATGGTACACACACAAGTACTAAAATTTTTTAAAAATTACCCACACAGAAAATGCAGTAAGCTGCACAACTGGTGGATCTGGGCAATGGTTATGTAGGAGTTCTATTATTTCTGTTGTCAGAAATTGCAAACAAACCTATTTTTAAGATTCTATTCATAAAAACACTGCTGTTGTAAATCAGGAAATGCTTGTAAATGTAAATAAATACCAACACATATAATCTAGTGCTCAAGAGCCTGACAGTCTTGCTTCCAAATACTGTTGGAAGTCTAAAAATAAGGATGGAAATATGTGTAAGGGACTTGTGTGATTAAAAAAAGGAAAGAGAATTCTGCATGGGTGTGTGTGTATACAAATATCACATGAACGTTTGTTCCATTTTACCTGAGAACTTCCTAGGTGAAGATGCTGGGGTTGGGGGGCAGGGGACCAACTATGAGGGAATGCTGGAAGTTCCCGCTTTTCTTCCTCTCTCTGAAATCTGCTGGCTTGGGCTTGTCCCTGAGCCCTTCCCCCGAGAGGGGATCAGATGACCAATCTCCCCTCCGTGGCTTGTGGAGCTGACCGCTTTGCTGCGGCTTTGTGGAGCTTTCAAAACAAATTGCAGGGCTAGGGCCTGCGTTAATATTCAGCACCCGCTTCTCACCCCGTTCTGATGTCCTCTACTGTCACACTGTCATGGCAATGGGGACCACGGGCCACAGTGGAGGCAAAACAAAGGAGGACACGTTTTTAATGCTCGGGCCATCTGCCAACTCCCCTCAGGATCTTTTCAGGGCCCCGTGACAGGAGAGCAAAGCCAGGGAGGGGGGTCGGCAAGGGAGGGTGGAAAGATCATTCAAGGGAAAAGCAATTGCAATATGAAAAGAACCAAAGAAGTCACCGGCTGGGTGGATGGGCGAGTGGAATCCGCTGCCCCAGCGCTTTAGAGGCAATAGACTCGCCTCACCCTCTCCACTGCAGCCTTTGTCTGCTGCCAAGCATTTTAAACATTATAGTAAGAACACATTATCAAGGGGGGATTTCATAGAAATGCACCGCACACACCTACCTCCAGATGGCTCTTGTGACGACCAGCATGAAAACTCCAACCAAAGACTACACCAGGTTTTTCCCCCCTTTCCCCCAGGGAAGCAAAATATTCTAACTACAGTAGTTAAGCCTTAATGAGGCATGTCCATAGACTTGCAAATTCGTCAGACCACCATCATGAACTCCACTGCTGGCAAACAGTCCTGCCCTCAGGGAATTTGTTATTAAAATGTCAAGGTTTGAGTATGTTCTTCCTCGTCCTCAAACAAATATTTGTCCCCCTCCCTTGGAAGGCAAAAACCTACTTGAAGGCCTGGAGCCATGGGCAGGCTGGTGATCTGGGAAGACAATTCTGACCTGTTGTCCTGGTCGCTCGCTGTGAGCTGGAGTCCACTTGAAGGCTAACTCACAACAAAAGCACCCAGCACAAAGAGCTCCCATATATATAAAAAAAAAACAAAGAGCTCCCACTTGGCTGAGGTACCAACAAGCCACCGGGCATGACACCCAGTTCAAAATCTTCCATTTCCCCGAAGGCCGTACAGAGCTCTGATCCCCTTGCCTTCTCCTAAAAATCTCCACCGAAATATCAATGGAATTAATAACTTTATGGACCAGTCAATTAACATCTTTATTTTTTCTGAGTTAGAGTAGCAAATGTGGTTTGAATCCACCAGCTGCTACACAGGAGGATCTCCTCCTGTGTGATTTACGGCCTCTGAAAACTGCTCGAGGATCTGACACAGGTCAGTTCTGACTGCATGGCATACCACCACCACCTCCACCTCACCACCTTCTCCTCCTCCTCCTCCTCCACCACCACCACCACCACCACCACCACCACCTTGATGTAGAATTGAAAGCTAGATACAGAAACCAATACCAGCTGTTGTTTTCTTGTTTAACAAGTTGCATTAGGAACAATCTGCTGTCAGGGGCCTCTCCAGAGTGCTGAAGAGCAACGATGTCAGTCTAGAGACTTAGGTACACCCTATACAGGCCATGTTTTTTTGCAATTACTTGCTATTCATCAGAGAGCTGGACAATGACCAAAGATAACAGAAGAAGAATCAGTATCTTTGAGCTGTGGTTCTGGAGAGTAGTATTGAACAGACCATGGACCAGCAAACGAATATACAGATCTGTCTTGGAGAGGGTGAAAATAAGCTACTCCTTGGAGGCAAGGATTCTGAAGCTCCTTCCCACATACTTTGGGCATGTTGCCAGGAGGGACTAATCTGTGAAGAAAGACATCATGCTTGGAAGGGCAGATGGACAGGGCAAGAAAGACCCTGGATGAGACAGACTGACACGGTAACTAGAGTAATGAGGCTTAGTGTGTCAGAGACAATATCATCGGCTCAGGCTAGAGCAGGGATCAGAGCTATTGTACATCAGGTCGCTATGAGACATAGTTGGCTCAACAGCTCATAACAACAACAATAATCCACTTGGCTGGGTTGTTTCTATTGCTACACTTCACCATTTTATTTACATATAAAGATAGCAAAAATCCTCACACTGCACCAATAGGCAACATCATGAGAAACGGAGGCAAAAAACAAAGCTGCTAAGGATTTACTGGACCTGGATCCACAATAAACAGATACGCTGCACGGGGGACAATCTGCTGCCAAGGATCGCTACAAAGTGCTAAAGAGCAAGGGTGTCAGTTTAAAGACTAAGGTGTGTCTGATTCAAGCCATGGTATTTTCAATTGCTTCCTATGTATCTGAAAGTTGGAGAATGAATAAGGATGGCAGAAGACTCAAAGCCTTTAAGCTGTCATCCTCTAGAGAATACTGAATAGACCATCAACTGGCAAAAGAATAAGCAGGTCTTGGAAGGCGCACCGAGGGTGAGCTCCTGTCAGGAGGGTCCTTAGAAAACAACATGCTTGGAAAAGCAGAAGGTCAGCAAAAAAGAGGAAGACCTTTAAGGAGGTGGATTGGCTCAGTGACTGGAACACCGTGCGGAGCATGGAGGAGAAGGTGATTACAGCCAAGGACTGGGCAAGGGGTGGGTCTGTGCACACTTAACAATGTTGTCATTTTATGTGCTGTCGAACAAGGAGTAATCATGTCACCTGGTTAATATCTCATTGCTGTCACTCAGACTGTGGAGCCCTAGTTATCTTAGCATATTACATGTCATGTTGTTAACCAAAAGGTCAGTGGTTTGAATCCACCAGACACCCTGCAAAGGCGGCCAGTCTCCTCCTATCAAGACGTACAGCCCAGTGGGTCCGAGAGACAGGTCCGACTCCACAGCAGTGACTTCGTGGTTCTGAGTGGTGCCGACAGCACCTCTCTAGTAAAGTCTCTCACACTCACTGCCTTTGGAGCAGAGCACGTCAGAGCCGACCTCCATGGGCTCGCTGAGGCCGTAAATTCACACAGACGGCGCCCACCTTCCTCGCACGGAGCTGCTGGTGGATTCAAACCACTGAAAGGCACCATCTCTAAGAGCCCCTACCAGTGTCCAAGGCCTTCAAAGAAATCTTGACAGTGTTTATGAAAATCAGCTGCTTGTTTTCCAATTAACGTTACAAGTGTTTAACCAGAGATCAATCAGCACTCAAAGAGTATCTTTTCAAAGTTGTTCTCCAGTGCCCAGAGAGGTCCCCACGTAGGAGGGCAAAGTTCACCGCCTCCCAAAGAAAGGGAGTGGGGTCGGAGCAGATTAGCAGCCGGGAATTGCATAGACTCTGCCAAATGATAACCCCAAAAGCACCAACGAGAGAGGCCAAAAGCCTGTATTTCAGTGTATGCTCATTTCAGACAGGTGACAGGCAGGACACAGAGGGATGGCAGTGGCCCAAGGCGGGACCCTGGGTCCACGAGGTTTGGGCCGACAGAGATCTCTCTGGTACAGGACCCAGAGAGTCCTGCCATCTGGCACCCTCTCCCCCTTGGTCCCAGGCCTTCAACGCTACTTCACCGTCAGTGGCCTGTGGCTGACGGGCAAGCAGAGGCAGGAGGCGGCCCTGGATGGCCGGGAGGCTCACCTCGGGATGTGAGCCGGCTGTAGACTTGGGAGTTGACTTCCTTGTCCCTCACGTAGCATCGGATCTCCTCCACCGCCTCGCGGATGATCGTGACGGCCAGCACAAAGCCCTGTGGAGAGAAGAGAAGCCAGAGGGTGAGCGGAGTGGGAGCTGACCGACCTGTGGGGGGCTGGAGGCAGAGAGGGGAGCAGCCACCCCTGATGTTATGACAGCCTACAGCCTAACAACATCACAGGGAGCTCTGGAGGTCAAATGGCAGGAAGACGGGCTGCAATCCCAGAGGCATGTGGGTTCTAATTCACCACCAGCTGCTCCAGATGTAATCTCCTCCCAGGCAAGAGGGTCAGCTATGACTCCGTGGCACAAAACAATGATGTCAGAGGGAGATTAAGTGCAGTAGTCTGTAGGAGGCTGGGCTGCAAATCAAAAGGCTCAGCCTCTCTAGTGGTTCGAATCCACCAGTTGGTCTGAAGATGAAAGACGGGCAAAATGCCTCCTTGATTTACAGCCTTAGAAACCTGCTGGAGGGACAGCTCTAAATTGACAGCAATGAAGATTTTTATGCTAACACACAGCCCCTGAGGGATGCAAACAAGTGAACTCTCAGCTAGCAACTACGAGGTTGGCAGTTTGAATCTACCTAGAGGGACCTAGGAGGAAAGGCCTGGGCAGCTGCTCCTGAAAAATCAACACTGAAAACCCGACGCACACAGTTCCACTCTGACATGAGGGGTTGACAGGCATCAGAACCAACTGGTTTTCTGGTTTAAGAAACTGTTTAAAAAGCATACATCAGAAATTCCACTTCTCTGAATTCCTAGAACTACCCCCAACACATCCACACACACACACATATGCCCTAAAGGAAAAACTGTCTATCATAATATAAGAACAACCATATTCATGATCACGTGAGGTTTAACTGGTGGTGACGGTGGTGTTAGGTGGCATCAAGTCAAATACGACTCATAGTAACCCCATGAGCAGCAGATCTGAAGCCCGACTTTTCCCTCACAATCTCTGGCACACTTGAGCCCAACCCTGCAGTCACTGCCAGTCCATCTCACCTCACTTACCAGTACCTGGTCCTGACCAATCCAAACCTCTGACGTCTTTTTCTCACTTACTGTCTGTGAGATAGTTGTTCTCATGGAATCTGCACGTTACAGATGAGGAAACAAAAGCACAGAGTCGTGCAGTCATCTTACCATTGAGTGTAAAGCTTCTAAGTGATGAGCAGGAATGTAAAACCAGGAAACCTGCCTTCAGAGCCCGTGCTTGTAGCCGCCCCATCCGTCCTTCCCCTCCATCCATCCTTCTGCGTCTTCAGATGCTCCTTGTTCAGTGGGGACCAGTCAGCTCTGGCTCATCGTGTCTCTGAAACCATTCTAGCCATCCTCATAGCCACCACTGCTATGTATGTTACACCGTCGATCCTTCTTCCTCTTGTTTTACCAACCTTCTATCTAACCAGACTAGACAGTTGGACGGAGCCAAAAAGAGACTCAGAGAAAGTTAAGGACAGAGATGGTGATGTCAGCATTTTGGATGTTACAATGTAACACTGTTTATATAAACAATTACAAAGATTCCATACAAGATTCCATACAAGATTTGAGTGTTCTATGAGTTTCTTGTTGTTGTTGTTATGTGCTGTTGAGTCACCTGCGATTCATAACAACCCTATAAACAAGAGCCCTAAACCCTGCTCTATCCTGTGCCAATTTCCAACGCACCTACCCCCATTATCCCAGTCGCTGAATCAATCCACCTCATCGAGGGTCTTTCTCTCTTGTGCTGTCCCTCTACCCTCCTAAACATGACATCCTTCTCCAAGGACTGATCCCTCCTTGCAACATGTCCAAAGTATGTCAGACAAAGCTTCAGAATCTTTGCCTCCAAGGAGCAGCCTGGTTTAACCTTCTCTGGGATGAACCTGTTCATTTTCTTAGCAGTCCATGGTATATCCAACACTCTTCTCCAGCACCACAGCTCAAAGGCATCAATTCTCCTTCTGTCCTTCCTAGTTATTGTCCAGCTTTCTGATGAATAGCAAGTGATTGCAAAGACCATGGCCTGTATCAGGCACTCTCCGGAGTGACACCATTATTACTGGCCATCAAGTCAGCTCCAATCCATGGTAACTCTAAGCACAATGGATCGAAACACTGCCTGGTCCAACAGCGTGCCAATGGTTGCTAGTAACCAACAGGTTTCCCACGATTTTCACTGGCTCGTTTTTGGAAGGAGATTGTCAGGCCTGTCTTCCTGGTCTATCGTAGTCCCTCGCAGTCTGCAAGTTCTATGGAAATCCACTCAACATCCCAGCAACTTCCCAATGGAAGTCACCAATGACAGATAGACAGTGGCTGTGTCTGGGGTGCACCAACTGGAATTGAATCTAGGTCTCGTGCACAGAATTTGGGAATTCTACCTGCCAGTGACCCTGGACACCAAAGTGAAAAACTCAAACCCACAGCTGCCGAGTCAATTCTGACTCCCAGTGACACTACAGAATGGACAAAACTGCCCTAGGTTTCCAGGGCGGGAGCCTTTACCGAAGTAGACTGTCACCTTTTTTTCCTGGAAGAGGAACTGATGGGTTCAAACTGCTGACCTTCTGATGAGCGGCCAAGCACTGAGCCATCGTGCCATTCAAGCCCCTTCACCCAGTGCGCAGATGTGCGTAAGCCTATAGAACGCAATCTTGAAAGACACAGCGCACGGAAACCTGAACAGCCGGTTCGAGCCCTTCCTCTGCAAAGGGAGGGGCCAGGTGGGCGTGGGAGAGACCAGGAGGCTGCGGCCTCAGCTGCAATGCTTTCAGCTTTCGTAAGAAAAACATATTCATACGTTAGTTGCATAAGTATAAATTATTCAAAAGAACACTTTAAAAGCCATTCCCAATCTGGAGCCAAGTATACCTCAAGTCCCAAAATCTGGGCTGGGAGAGGTCATACACAGCACAAACCTTCTTCCTTCTAGATTCTTCCTTTAGCAAGAACAACTTCCTTCTAGATTTTTCCTCTCATATCAATAAAGCGAAAGACAGTCACCCATTTATCTTACAAAACAGCCTCATCCTCAACCCCTTGTAAAGCTTGCCAGAATATTATTTTTTAACACGTTGTTGCACACTTTTAAATTGATGACCGTGCTTAGAAACACATTTGCCGTCATTTTTGGCAATGTGTTAAAATAGTCATTTCATATTGGCTTGCATATGAAATTCATATACATTGTGTTTCATTTATAGGTACATCAGAATATTATTTTTTTAAATAGCATAATTGCCTTGGCAGTTAAAAGCTGTCATTCCCTCATTAAAATCTCAATTTAAAAAAGGGAGGGGGGAAAGTTGTGATTCCTTTAGGAATTCATTTGCATATGGAAAGGGTGGTCTGTGGCTTGGTGATCAGGAGTTGTACACAGTACGAATCCACCAGTTACTCTGAAGGGAAAAGATGGGCAATCTCCTCCTGTGAGATTTACAGCCTCTGAAAACCTGCTGGAGCGCCAGGTATGAGTGGTTTCCACTCACAGGTATATAACCACCACCATCCACGAAATAGTTCACTCGAACTCAAAGGATTTAATTTTCTTTTTAACTTGTTAATGTCATTTGATGCCTTTGAGCTGTGGTGCTGGAGAAGAGTGTTGAATATACCATGGACTGTTGGAAGAACAAACAAGTTCATCCTTGAGAGGGTGAAACCGGGCTGCTCCTTGCAGGCAAGGATCATGAAGCTTCACCTGACATACTTTGGGCATGTTGCAAGGAGGGACTGACTGGTCCTTGGAGAGGGACACCATGCTTGGGAGGGTGGAGGGACAGCACCAGAGAGGAAGATCCTTGATGAGATGGATTGATTCAGTGACTGGAGTAATGGGAGTAGGTGTGTCAGAGACAGTAGGGCTGGCACAGGATAGAGCAGGGTTTAAGACTTGTACATAGGGTCACTATGAGTTGCAAGTGACTCGACAGCACATAACAACAATATCCTTTGAGGGAAAATTGACTGAACAAACTGGTTTTCATTGTACTATTCACACATTTGTTGCTGGTGGTCCTGATTTCTATATTTTAAAAGCACTTTCCCCTCCTCCTCCCTGTGTTTACCTTTTCTATTCCTCCATCTTTCCTAACTCTTCCTGTCTTTTGACCTTTCTTTCTGGGCAAATGCTGCCTTTTGATTTCATACAGCAAACTGTTCTATGGAATATGTGCCTCGTGGAGTTACTGGTCACCTCACAGGATTGTCTACTGTGTGTCTGGAAACTGAGTCCCAAGGGTGATTTCCATCCTCTGCTTGACGGGTCACTACAGGTGCAGTCTCCGGAGTTCCACCAGTCTCTATCAGGTCAGCAAACTTGGTCTTTTTATGAGTAACTCAAAAGTATCTCCTTGGTAAATCCCTCAGAGATGTGGCTGTGTCACAAAACACCTCTAAAGGCCCATTAATCTTTCCAAAGGACCCTTCTATTTCATCAGATGTCAAGCACACACTGTAAATATAATACATGTTGTAAATCCTAATCTCTATGCAGGTGGTGTATAACCCCCAAGGGGGCATAGGCTCTCTCTGTTATATGAACAAAGCAGGATTAGCATAGGGCATTGTCTTGAGTCTCTATCTTTTGAAACATAAAAGAAATTGCACAAGCAAGTGAAGGAGAGGTGGGAAAAGAGAGGTGGCAAGTAATGTGAAGAGAATCCAGGAGCTGAAGCTCAGAAGAGAGGACTTTCCCCGGAGTCCACCAACCAAGAGAAAACACCCTGAACTCAGACCTTTCGCCTCTGAATCTTCAAGAAAATACATTTCTGTTTGCTAAAGCCACACCCTTGTGGCATTTCTGTTATAGCAATAACAGAGAACTAGGATGGTGGCCAAAGGAATACTGGTGCCTTTCTGAATAAAAGTATAACCAGGCTACACAAGCAGACCCGAGTGGCCCCTTCCCTGCGCTGCAGGTTGGCTGTTGTGCTCCAGCTCCTGGGGGTATGTTTTGTGGGGTTTTTTTTAATGTTATTTTTAAAAATGTTCTCATTTCTCCTTCCCTCTGTGTAGGCCAGCCTAAAGCCCAGTAATGTTACTGGGAACTGTGTGG